TGGGAAACCACATTCATATGTCTAATTTGACGCCAAAGCTTCCGACTTTAATTTCCCGCTCTTGTGTGAAAAGTGCAATTTGCAGCAGCGTGAGCCCCTGCCCCCTGCTGCTTAAACCTTGTTCAATAAAAACAGTAGTTTGAATAAAAGAAAGCCTAATTAGTGCCTGCTGACTGTGCACTTGTGCTGCAGCTAGCTAGCTAGCAGCGGGGGTAATTAACGCATGGCCAGACTGGCCTCTCTCCCCGGCTCGCTCCCTGGGAACGTGCTTAGCGGGAGATCTGAGGGATGATATGCTTGCAGCCGCCTACAAACTTCACTCATATCCTCATTAACCCTCCCTTGATGCTTTCAGATCCACAACTAATCCAAGTTTTAGGGTAAGGTTGCAATGCTAATAAGCTACACTTGCTTACTAAAACACACGATCAACAGCTGCCAGAGCCTTTAAACAGATGTGAACAGCCAGAGGTTGATGTTTCCACTGTTGGGGGGAACTGCTGTAAACAGTAATTTACCGATTTCATGACACGTTTTACAGCCGCTCTGTTCAACTCTTCATCCTGAGTTTCTTTTTTTTGTATCCCATAATGCCTGCCTGAGCTGTGTTAACGATGTATAATCCCTTTTCCCATTTAATGGATTGGTCACTTTCCAGACATTGACATTGCTTTCTTTGCTACATGCCTGGGTCTAACAACTTAAGTTTAAAACTCATTACACGAGTGCCAGTGGCAGAGAAATAACAGTGTACGCAGTTTCATGCTCACTGCAGATTTCCTCACCACATTTCTCATTATAAAGCAAAGTGATGGATTTATGTCCCTCCATTTTTAAAAACATACATTGGTAGCTTTCCCTAAATAAGAATGGATGGATGCATTCAGTCAGTTTTATACATGACAAAGTGTGTATTGTGATTCTGATGTAAACAGTTGATGAAAGTAGAAAGTGTTGACAGCATGAGTCGTGTTAGGAACCTTTTCCTTAAAGGTCACATATGATACACTTTGACAATATGTGTCTCTATTATGTCTACAAACCCCCCAATGATGAGAAAAGTCCATCCATCCGTCTTTTGCCTGCTCCACTTTTCAAAAAATGTGTGCTCAAACAGGCCGTTTGGAGATTTTCCCTTCATGACATCACAAAGGGCAGTAACCCCTCCTCCAGGTGGGTGACACTCCCACAGCTAGGTGTTTGTTCTGCCCTCTGAGTCTGCCTTCTCACCGTAAACAATAGAACATGGAGCGAGAAAGCCCGAGCCACCCAAGCCCTTCCAGAGAGGGGGCGTGGTCAGACACAGCTCATTTACATTTAAAGGTACAGACACAGAAACAGCCTGTTCTGAGCAGGGCTGAAATAGAGGGGTTTATAGACATGATCAAATACATGATCAGAGTGGATTTAGAACAAGACACTTCACACACATGTTTTTAGGAGCTCTGAGACTTATTTAAACTGGTTGAAGAAGAGGAGAATATGTGACCTTTAAAAAAAAAAAAAATAAAGTTGTTCTGGTGTCTTTGGAACAGGGGCGTGCCCAGACTTTTGTGACTGGGGTGGCACAACTGGGGCATTGACTTATGGAGGGGTGGCCTGAAGCGTGAGATTCCCTCAATTCTTTTAAATCCCTTCTTAAAACATACTTTTACAGACTTGCTTTTATGTGATGTCGTCTTCTCTTACTGGTTTTACTATTTATTTATTTATGGTCTCATCTCGTATTTATGCTCATATCTTAATCTCCTCTTGTGTTTTAACTTGGTAATTTCTTATCTTACTTACTTTGTCTATTTATGTTTCGTATTTATAGTTAATTTTTATTTTTATTAATATTATAGTTTTGGGTTTTTGGATCCTTTAACCACTTGTTTTTATTTCTTTTACTGCTCGTACCTTCTTATTGCTTTTTATTTGCTTTTATCTCTTAGTTTCTTACATCTTTCTAAATCTTTGGTCCTCTTGGTCTCAGCTCGTGTTGTTGGGTTCTTGTGTTTCCTGGGTTCTTATGATGGTTCTTATGATGGTTCTTGTGACGGTCGGGTTATATATGTCTGGTTGTGTATCGTGCACTTTGGGTTCTTTTCTGTTGAATTGTATTTAATTATTTTTGGTATTTTGCATCTGTTATAGTCTTACTGTTGTTAATGTTTTTCTGTGTTTGGTTTAGTTTGCTTTGTTCTTGCTGTTTGTCAAAGCACTTTGTAAACCTGTGTTTTTAAAAGGTGCTATATAAATAAAGTTATTATTATTATTATTTAGGGTTTTTGGGGTGACACCGCGGGTGGCCAATCAGATTTCTGGGGGAGCCCATGCCACCCCTGACCACCCCTGTGGACACGCCCCTGCTTTGGAAGCAGTGAACCCCACTTAGCGCCTCGGCAGCTCTTCAAACAACCAAACCCTGAAATTTAAAGTCCCATTTAAAGCTGCATTGCTTCGCTCCGTTCACAACTTGGTTTCATCCAGCAGATTTTACATCCATGAAATGGTGAAAGAGGTTTTATTCATTGGGACAGCTGATGGAGCTCACTTCACAACTACTTACCACCCTTTTTACAGAAACAGGGACGTGAGGTTTGACATCAGCAGTTGCTGACCGAGGTGACTTCTGAGAATCTCAGAAGCTTGAAATGTCTCTTATGAATACTGATGGCAAACAAGTTGAAGAAGTCAACGCTTTTATGAACTGTAGAATAATATCGATTAAAGCCTGCCTGAGACTGCAGGAGTTTTAAAATCAGTCAGCATCCATACATCTGCAGAATCTCAACAGATCTTCTTCTCCATAAACTCATCCATGCTTTACAAGATATGAACAAGATGGCACATCACAGACTTCAGGACTCCTCGACTCCATTCATTATTATGTCTTTATCACATTGATCGCATGCTGTTTTGTTCTTTTAGGCTTCCGTGCCAAAGTCACTGCAATGACATCTGTGTGGTGTCTCCTCTTGTCCTGTCTCCTTGTAGTCACAGTCAGTGGTTTCCAAAGAGGGGGTCGGGACCCCCAGGGGGGTCACCAGCTACCAAGAAGGGGGTCTCAATATACCCTCCATAAACAATATGGATAAATATACAAAATACTTAAACTGTTTTAATGTTATTCAACCCGTAAGGAGTTTCTTTTTTTGATTAAGTCAATGTCGTAACCTCAATTTCCTTATTTTCTTTCAAAATAAAAGCAGGTTTGCATTTAAACAGGAAGTAAAGTACCCTCAGCTCAAAATAAAAGCGGAACAAAATTATTTTTTTTCAATAAAAAATAATGGTAATTTTAACATGTGATTCAAAATGCATTTAATAGGTATTAACTACTGAATTTCAGAGTTTAATCGTTTGACAGCCCTAATAAAAGTATGAATAAGTTTATGACCTGTGGTCGACCTTTATGTCACTGCACCAAAAGGTAATTTGTCTTTACCTGTGTGACAGTCGAGTCCAGCCTTAGCATTTCCTGTCAGCCTGTGAGTCTTCATTTATATTTGGTTGCTTACCCTGGCATCTATTCAGCAACAGACATCAGGCCCCATTGATGGCGGGTGTTGAGCTCCGGCTCCTTGGCCGGGACCCCTGCATTAATGAGGCTGCCATCAGCAGGCCGAACATTTAGTCAAAGCGGCCCCCTGTGTGCCGCCCCATACCGGCCCCGCACATCGCTGCCCATTGTTTCCTGCTCACAAATAAAGCGTGAATTAATTAGCCAGTTGGCACAACCCTTGGCGCTACCGTGTCAGCTCGCAGTTCAGCTCCGTGCCTCATCCCTCAGGCCCAGTTTGTCTGCTGTGAGACTGAGCATAATGGCCACGTCCACATGAAACCACAGACCCCTGCCAACAATTCAGACATTTCAAATTACTGCTCACTTAACAGCAGAGAGAAGCAGCCTGTGTGCTGTAATAACAACATCTATTTCACCTGGACACGTCCCTGTCTTAAAATTGAACTGAGGAGTAAATGAAAATAACCAGTGATCAGACTTGTGATCTGTCCCAAAGATCAGCTCCCGTCATGTCCGTCAGTTTGAGTATTTTGATGTAAGTAGGTCAGACTGGTGGAGCTGTGGTGATCGTGACAGTGAGACAGATAAAAGAGGAGAGAGAAGAGCCTTTCATTCTCGGAAACGATTAACACTGACTTTAATTGTGTTAGCGTAGAAAGAGGAAGTGAGTGTTAAAATGAAACACATTCACATCCCCCCACGGGCAAATTATTACCAGACACTGCCATATAGGCAACACCTGCATAATCCTGCCACACATTATATACAGCCTCATAAATGAAACAGCCCCTCTTGCTCACACATGCACAAACATAATCATGTTCATGTTGTCAGTTCGACATTGTTAAATTTAGCCACGGTGCTTAGCAGGTGTAACAAATGTCTGTGAGCCGAGGCCTGGGAGGTGTTCCCGCAGATCAGAGACGCTGCTGCTGTGTCTGATTACTTGTCTGCTGTCATGAGGCTCTGCTCTCTGCGTCTATCTCTTTCTTTCCTTCCCCCTAAAGCAGCCACAGGGGACCATCCAAGCCTTGCTCGCTCTTTGTTTAGTTTGTGATTCAGTTGCAAGAAGAGCAGCCCCCCCTTCAGATGCATACTTATCGTTTGCGCCAATGATGCGTCAATTAAGGCCACTAAAAGCTCCTGACCTTAAAGTCGCAGACTTAACCACAGAATTGGATTTAAGACTGGGAATGTGTTGACGGCAATAATTCAGTTGAGAATGAGATTAGAAATCTTCTGTGTCCTCATGAGATTGGGGCTGTGAGCGTTTAGGGGGGAAATCAGCGAGGTAAGGAATATGAGTCGCTGTCTGAATCATCCTCTTAACTTCTCAGATTTCAACTGATGTGTTCTTTTGTACCATTTACACCTCTACTTGGTCTTAGTGTTTGGTTGTTACCTTTCTCCCTAATCTCTTATCCCACCAATTCTGTCTTTTCTTGCCTTTGCTCCGCATCTAACCTCCAACCTGTTCTGTTTTCCCTCCCAGGGGACACCACACAAAGGATGAGATCCGCTCCGTTTCCGACCCCTGCAGAATTGGATGCATATGCTAAGAAGGTTGCCAACAACCCTCTCACCATCAAGATCTTCCCCAACAGCGTCAAGGTCCCCCAGAGGAACCACGTGCGGCGTACTGTAAACGGGCTGGATACAACAGGCCAACGCTACAGCCCCTACCCGTCTTCTCAGGCCAGTGCCAAGACAGGCCTCCTTGCCATCATCAGGGTGCCCTCAGTCAAAGGCATCCTCAAAGATTTTGACGGCAGCCGGGCTCGCTTGCACCCTGAAGTCATTATGAATCCTCCTAACAGACCCTACCAAGTGGCTTCGACCAGCACTTTAAACCACCACCCACCTCTGCAGAATTTTCCCCGGATGCAGCAGAACTTACCCCTTCCCCCACAGGAACAGCCTCAGACTTTACAGATGCCCCTTCCTCAGCAGGGTCACACCCAGAGCCTCAGACACCATCCTCCCATGGCCCAGCATCCTCAGGGCCCACCAAGACTCCAGACTCTGTCTCAGCACCCAACCCTTGTCCACCCACAGGGGCCCCCTACGATCATGCTTCAGCAGCAGCACCTCCAGCAGCAACCGCCCCCTGGCCTGCAAGGGGGCATGAAGCTGCCAGATGGTGATGCACCACCTAACGTTACTGTCTCTACCTCAACCATTCCACTCTCCATGGCTGCAGGGCTGCACCAAGGCCGCCAGGCCGACCTGAGCTCAATTGTGCATCAGATCAACCAGTTCTGCCAAGCCCGAGCCCACGGTGCAGGAGTCACCTCCATGTGTGAGGGCCAGATCGCTAACCCTAGCCCTATCAGTCGCAACCTGCTTATCAGCGCCTGCTCCAGGGTGTCAATGCATAGCAACCCTGCCACCCCTGGCTACCCTCAATCTAACTGCATACTTGGCCCTCAAGAGAAACACCCTACCCAACCCAGTGTGGCTGCCATGAACCACTTGCCTTCAAACCATGCTGATCCCAAGCTGCAGCACCACCTGCAGCACCTGCACCAACAATCCAATCAGCTGCAACAACAGCTACAACATAACGCCCAGCAGCAGAATATGCGCTCTTGGAGTCAGCACCAGTTGTCTCATGTACCCCACATCCAGAACGGTGGTTCCCACCTCTGCAAGCAGCCCTCCAGGGACCCCGCCTTCAACTTTAAGAGCATGGGCTACCCTACAGAGGTGTGTGTGGGTCAGCCTTACACACTGAAACCCCCTGTCGACAGGCCAACGCCCTCTCCCCCCGTCATCCACAATGGTATGCCCGGCCCCATGGCCCACTATACTAATGGTCACTACTTCCAGTCCCATATTTGGAATAGCAGCATCCTCCCCACACCCAACAGTGACAGCTCTGGCTCTCAGGACATAGCAATGCCATTCCACAACGCAGGCCCAGGGGGTTGCACCGCACTGGACTGTGGACCCTCTGGGGCTCCACATTACAGGCTAGGAACGAGTTCCTCCACCTCCTCCTCCTCTGCCCAGACCAATCTCATGCAAACAACAGATTACTTGGGTGGAGACTTCCAGACGCCCTACTTCCGTGATCAGAATCTAGGGTTGATGGGCAAGATGCACAGGCCTCCTCTGAGCAGGGTAGGTCCGGAGGTTGGGGATGGCAGAACCGCTCTCCTCCAGCACCCAGGGTACAGATAAGCTATGGCCTTGTCTTCACAAAAGTTATCAAACCCTTTTGTTTAGTCTTAAGAAAGGAGACACGTTAATAAAACTCAATTGATAACTTAAATGACTGCTTATGTTAAAGAGGGTAAATTAATATATTCAATGAAGACAAACAGTAGGTTTTTTTTGTTCCTTTTTGGAAGAATCTTGCAAGTGATCAATTGCTACGTTAATTTTTTTTTTTGAATGAGTGCTTTTACCTTGCACTTAAGGAAACTCATGCGTGTGTATACACGTCTGTACTGTATGTGTGTGTGTGTCATTCCCACCTCCTTCCCCTATTTGTGTGCCTGGATCTCAACTGATCCTGTGTTTTTCTTCTTCACAACTATCGATTCAGTTTTCTTATGCATGTAAGAAAGATGAAAAACAGATAGATCCCCTCCCTGAAAAAACCACGACATCTACGCTGGATGCTTTCAGTTTTGAAAACGGTGGACTTTGAGTAGCTTCGGTAGACAAGATGTTGTTTTTCCTTTGGTGTGAGGCTCAAATCTTATTGTAGCTGAAATATGAAACAATCAGTTGATGACAGAAGAGAGCGTAAGGATCTTGTTAGAGTGCACACTTACCTAAAGACCATGCAGACGTGAAAGTACAGAAGGAAAAGCTTGCGATAGGCTCATGTATACAAAGGTTTTATTCTTTTGAAATGTAATTATTTATTTGTATTATAGGACTCTTCATGGTTGATTCCTCACTGTCAGTTAAGGATGCATGTGATCAGGTTGTTTGTACATAGTAGACGCTCAGCCGCGCTTTGTCCTGCTGAATCTGCTGCGATTAATTCAGGTGTTCTTAAAAGAAAAACATGTCAAAGCCGGGAAGGTTTGGCAATGAGATTGTGAAATGTTTAGCGCAGAAAAAAGTCATAAAAGATGAACTATTGTACCTTGAAGATGGCCAAAGTCAGGTAAACAGAGACAAACTGTTCTGAAGATGTGCCATTGTTTGTTTGTTTCCTTTTCGGATCGTTTTTGTAACCATGCAAACTGTACTACTTGAATGTTGAGACGATTTGTTTTGCAGAAATGGAAGGGGGACTGGTTTGTAATGAGGATTAAAAGAAAAGATCATAGTGTTATTCTTGTAGAGATGAACTACGAGACTCAGCAGAGTTTTGATCCTGATGAAGGAACTTAAAGTCAGGGTTGGTAATTTCCTCCAGATCCACTTTTTAAGATTTTGGTGGAAATTGTCTTTAGGTCCTGACGGAAATTAATTAATGTTCTCTGAAAAAGGAACAAAGAAAATCTGTCATCTGTAGCAGTTGTAAGCCTGTAAAAACTTCAACCAATGTCTGCCACGAGGTACCAATCTGATGAACCAATCACACGCCTCCCTGTCTCCCTGCTCGCTCTCAACCTCCTTGCTTTAGCCCACACTCAAAGCGCATCACAGATGACTGAGTTTATACTGTGAGTTTACTTAACACTGAATGAGACATGAGACGACGTAGTTTCTACACAATGCAAGAGACGAGCTGAGGTCCACTTCTGGAGCAACAGCGCTCGTGCATGTAAGTGAGGGGGCGTGGCTTTAGAGGGAGCACAGAGGTGAGGGGGTGCAGACGGAGCACTGAGGGAATGCTACTTTCAAAATCATGCTAGTTCTCGAATATTACCAACCCTGCCTTTAAGTGAATTAAGTTGTGTGTAGTTTCCTCTGACTCGGCTGTGAAGACCAAAATTGATCACTTGCAAGATCCCTCGGAGGTAAAACACGACGGACTTTTAAGTTCAGAGTGAAACAGCAAATGCATTGTTTATTTTATTGTACACTGGCTTACCTACTAGACTACTGTAACTTTGAAAGTTTATTGATTGTGTGTGAATGTTGCCCGCTGACGTGGGTAGATTTAAGGGTGAGCGCGTGTGACGGTGAGAATGTGTGTGTGTATAGAAAACGATGACGCCCATGTTTTGTTCACCTAATTCCCTAACAGCCCTTAAAAAGCCTTAAGTGTTTGGTCCTTGGACTTCCCTTGAAAATGAGCATGGTTTTAATAAAAACCCCAAATAATAAGGAGAACGAAGGAAGACGCTACGGATACACAGAAACAGCAATTATTTTCTTTTTCTTCTGCTCTTTTTTTAATGGACGTTTGTTTTGAATAGAGCAATTCCTTAGAGATTCTTTATCGCGGAGACGTAAGACAAGACAGAGGAGTCATATTTTGTAATTATATATTTTAGCAACGTGTAGTTACTGAGCTGTAACTTTTTTTCCCCCCCCCGAGTTTCGAAGCTTCAGTTTGCAGTTGTGACTATTTATAATACTTGATTTGCTTGTTATTTAAATTTTTCCTTGTTTCTTGTTCTGTTGCTGTGAAATGGAAGAAGGTCCACAAGTCGTTCTTTTATGTGTCATTCTGTACGACCGACAAAGAGGCGAGAGCGTGAGAGTTGTGCTACTCTTTTTGTAATATTGTAATAATAAAATAAAGTTCTAATTTATGCTTTGACCCGAGTCTGGACACTCATTTCAGCTAACGCCTGACAACAGGTGCGTGCTTTTTTCCTGCCGTCGTCATTCTGCATGAAATCATTTTTACATGTTTAGCCCATAGGTTCAGCCTGACGAGTAGCTGACCTTTAACAAGCCATGAACCAACATAGACGAGAATGGGAACAGTTGGAACACTTTGCCTTCCCCTCAGGGATTTATTGTAGATTTATTCATACAAAACTTTAGGACAATGTGATGATTAATAAATGCCTTCAAACTCCGTTTGTTCAGCAGCACTTTAAGTGCTTTCACACATGCAGAAAACTCCTGATATTTCCAGGAGGAGCTGCATGTGTGAACACAAACAGACACATTTTTAGTTTGGACTTCACCTAGAGTTTCTCCTCCATCTTCCTCGTATTTATTCTGCACCCCCCCCCCCCCGTCTGACGGGGATAGTCTTCTGCTGTGAGGTGCATGTGTGAACAACCAGATCAAAAGGATTTCATTTAATCACAACATTTTTGAAGTAAGCTGCATGTGTGAACCCATGACATTTCCAGCAGCCGGTGTGATTATCCTGTATGCTCTGAACAAGCAGCAACCTCAAGTGATGAAAAATAAAGCCAGTGCTGAAGTGTTAAATCCTGCAGTTCCTCGAGTGTCCACTAGAGGCTGGCTGCAGAAGCACAGGAAGTCACATGCACACCCATTCTAAAAAGCCTGTTTTTACAGCAGAGATTAACATGTTTACAGCCTGGTTCAAAAAAACTAAACAGGTCTGATTAGCTCATGTCTCGATCGACACACACTGTACGGGGGGTGAATGTTTTGATGACTCATCCGTTTTGATTTGATGAAGGATAAGAGTTATTCACAATAAGGCGTGACCTGATTGACAGGTGGGCGCAGTGTAACGGTTTGTCGGAGGCTTAAAACCCGCCTCAGCTCCAGCACTCAGCCTGTTGTTAGGTTGACTGAAAGTTAGGCTGAGACAGCATTTCCAGCATGGAGACCACCATCGATGGGACTCCAGCGCCCCCTGCAGGAACAGACGGGTGACGTCACTCAGGCTTCAAACATTCATATTTAAAGTGTATGGTTATGAAGCAGATTTCTTTCTGCTCACCAGTTCTTCTCTGTTCTTCAGTTGATACTTTAAATCTTTCCAATTATACTAAGCATTGATATGAAGGTATAAAAACTGTCATATTGTACGACTTTACTTCACCCGCCATCCTGGATATCTTGTAAACATTAAGGCTACAGCGTCCTTCTTTAACATCCTGTCCTGCCTCCTGAGTAGCACCCCCCCCCCCCCTCTGTTTTGACAGTGAAAACGCCACGCTGTTAGTGACATGTGAATAAGAACTTTAGGGCTGTCCTTAAACTTTACAGAAATGTTCCAGAGTGCGTTTGTGTAAGCAGCTTATCAGATTTGTTAATGTACGACAAAGACTTGTGTCGACCGTCCCCAGTCTCCCCTCATATGTAACTGCGACAGGTAATGCCGAAGGTGTTCTTTTCATGCCATTTATTCCAGCTTCCCTGAGATAAATACAAACAGGAAGTAGAGAAGACAAAGCAAGCTGTGACATCTGCGGGACTATCTGGCTGCAGAAGGTTTAGCTCGTCTGGCTGTGATGAAAATGAGACTTGTATAGAGGGCGCCCAGCAGGAGGGGAGGATCAGCAGCTCGGTGATCTGCACTTCTCCACCAAGGATTGTGAGCCGTGCCAGAGGTGCCGGCAGGTGATGGCCTTTGTGCAGACAGGATGTGCTTCCTGCTCAGGTGGTGGCAGGAACAGCATGTGCAGAAGCCTTTGGATTGAATGCTTCATGTTTTTTTTAAATGCAGGATTTACCTGGAAATCAAGCAGCTCCTAATTCATCAGCACCTGATTGGATAACTTCAATTTTTTGCACCATAATGTCCGTAAGACAAACAAATATCTGTAATGTTTTCCTGAATTATTGCCTCAAAGACTAAATAAAAAATCCAGCTGACATTTCTGTTGTAGTCAGTGAGTTAAAAAGGCAGTGTTCACATCTGCCAGTTGCTTTCTCTTTGGGGTTTGAAACTGAAAAACTGTCTTTGAACACCTCGTTGCTGCGGTCAGACTGTCTAAACACCCGATGTGAAACACGCTCCTGTGTTTTAGATGGGTGTGCTGCTCAGAGGGTTCATCTCTGTGCTCTGGTAAGTCCTCCACCGGCGACTGCCATCCGAGAAGAAGCCTCTAAAGCTCCTCCCTGTGGACAAACGAGAACATGTGACATGATCATTTTCTGATCCAGAAAGTTTGAGTTTGTTTATGTGGTGACGTGACCACATTAGTTTTACATAAAGGTGGATTCATTCAAAATAAATCCTTGCAAAGTTAAATCCCTTTTTTGTGTCTCTGTCCCTGTCAGTCATTTTTCTGTGTGTTGTTGTTTTTAGTTTGCAGTCAGCCTGGTCATGTGACCTGAGGATACTAGACAGACACAGGTGTGTAGGGGGTGTGGCCTTGGGGAGAACAAAGGAAGGCGGAGAAATGTTTGTTGGGGGGTTTTGTTTGTTGGTAAAGAGGGGAGAGGAGCCCTACTGGACGGCTGTTTTGGAGGGAGAAATAGAAACATACGCTCCTTTTTATGGGGTTTCCTCCTCCACACGAGGAGGAGCAGGAACACTGAGTTTCAGTCAAAAGGACTCTGAAGAACGGACTTTAATTACTCTATTCCAGGACCTGTGAGTTCGATCACTTTGGAAATCCATTTTTTCCCTTTTTGTGGTTTTTTTTTGCAATGTGTTGCTTTTGATATTTTTTGCCTGGATTATAAAGTTTTTGAGTTTCTGAAACCCTTCCTTTGGATCTTTGTGGACTTAAAGGTCACATATTCTCCTCCTCTTCAACCAGTTTAAATAAGTCTTAGAGCTCCTCAAAACATGTGTGTGAAGTGTCTTGAATTCACTCTGATCCTGTATTTGATCATGTCTATAAACCCCTCTATTTCAGCCCTGCTCAGAACAGACTGTTTCTGTGTCTGTAGCTTTAAATGTAAATGAGCTGTGTCTGACCACGCCCCTCTCTGGAAGGACTCGGTTGCCTCAGGCTTTCTCGCTCCATGTCCTATTGTTTACAGTGAGAAGGCAGACTCAGACTTTTCTCATCATAGGGGGGTTTGTAGACAGACTAGGGACACATATTAGTGGTAGAGAAACATGGTGAAGTGGATTTTGAACAATGGGTGACCTTTAACAGGACACTTTCCATGATCTGAACTGAAACATTAACACTGTTTTATTTCAGTTACATGTTTCTTGGTTAATATATATGATGAAATTGGCGGATGGCTGTGATCTGTAACGCCTACCAGAGGGGAGGAGTTTAAACAGTTTGTGTACCGGGTGTGAAGAGTCTGCATTAAGGCCTGTTTCCTGACCCTGAACCGGTATAAGTCCTTGATGGGGGGCAGGTTGGCACCAATAATTTTTTCTGCAGTCCTGATTGTCCGTTGCAGCATGTGTCTGTCCAGTTTGGTTTAAGTTCCTAATCAGGTTTTATGAGTACATTTCAGCAGATTAGATCTAAATATTGTGACTACGTTGGGGGCGCTGGTAGCCTAGTGGTCCCCTATGTACAGAGGCTGTGGTCCTCCAGGCGGGGTGGCCCAGGTTTGAGTCCGACCTGTGTCCCTCCCCTCTCTCTCCCTCCCTGATTTCTGTCTCTTTCCACTGTCCTGTCGCTGAATAAAGCTCCAAAATAAAAGTCTATAAATAT